TAAATATATATATATATATATATATATATATATATATATATACATATATATATATATATATATATATATATATATATATATATATATATATATATATATATATATATATATATATATATATATATATATATATATATATATATATATATATATATATATATATATATATATATATATATATATATATATATATATATCTTATACTGCTGAGTTAGGTGAGCATGATGATGTCATACTCACCTAATGTCAAATAGCCTGCTGCCGGGGGCTTCAGTACATACATCGACTGACAAATAGCCTGACTCGCCGTGGAGTGCTGCTACATCGACTGAGGGTTTGGTATGGATCAGCAACATTTTCATTCATTATTTTATATATATATATATATATATATATATATATATATATATATATATATGGGTCACTCCTGAAAAGTAACATTTTCAATTAATATTTTTATAAAAATTAAATATTAAAATTTCTGAACCAAATTTTTTGCTGTTATAGCTTTAAGTATATTTAATCATTTGTAAGTATCCACACACCTCGTTAAAAGTCAGTTTACAAAAATAAAATTAAAAACTTTTAGCGTAATCCACAGACGTGACATTATGAATAGTATTGCTTTATGCTGTAACAGCTATAAGTGTCTGTCAGGTAATTTATAAAAATAATAACCATCTTTAATCAGCAGTTAGTAATAGTTGACATAAAGTAGTACATGGTACAAGTTTTTACAAAATTTTAAATACTACTAGTTAGTAAATTAGCAAATGTTTTTGAATGGTAAGTCTTGTGGAAAACAATTTTGCCCCCTGTTATTAAGGTTTGGCTGGCACAATCTCATCACTACATCACTCTTATCAATGATAGAGATGTCATCTTTCTCTGGAAACGTAAAAAAATCCTGGCCAGATCTTTTCAAAAACTTTATGACAAACTCATCTGCACCTAAGGCTTGAATTAGCCCAACATAGTAATTCACTTTTTTTTTGATGTTCGAAGCTTGACAATTACAAAATCATTGATTTTAATAGACAAGCTGTCCTCTTCATTATCGCTGTAAACACTGTGGTTACTTAGTCAATTTCTTTTCACATTTCCCCGGTCCTTGGGAGTCTTGAGCCAAACATTTGGATGTTGTTTCTTCAGCTGGCGTTTTTTTCATTTTCAAGAATTGTTCGCCTGCTAAACCATTTAAAGGAATTTCTTAAAACAGAGGCACAAAAAATTATTAATGAAACAGAAACAAGCTAAATAACTATTTTACAATAAAGATTTCACGCACAGCTTATTTTAATCTTTAATGAAAATACTAGAATAACTGAAAAACTAAATATTAATCAAACATTTTTACTTATAAATAACTAGAGAACATTTAAGAAATGCAAAAGTTTTCAATATTCAATATAAACAAATATAATATTCAATATAACACAATATTCAATATAAGCAAACTTAAGTTTCTAAAAGCTATACATTAAAAGGATACGAAGATGAAGATACGTCAAAAAATTCACAGGGATTAGTACTTCTGCAATACTATAGTGTTTGCATTTTGTATCATTGTCACATATAGTGCATGTCAGCCTTCTCATATACAATGTTTCTCTTTTAGTGGAACTCCAAACCACCTCATGAACTTGTAAAGTTCCCTTGAAAGTTGTTAGGTTTTTTTTTTTTTTTTTTTTTTTTTTTTACTTGCATTCACTCCCAACAAGGCTGAAAGCAACCACTATTAAGTTGGGAGTTACTAGGAAAAAAAAAGAACAGAGTTATAGAGCAAGGAAATGGTTGACAGAAGACTTGAAAAGTTGAAGGTTGTATGAGTCAGGAAAACATGAAGATGGGAGAGAGTTCCAAAGGATTGAAGTGCGGGGAAAAAAACTAGATGAATAAAAGTTTTTAGAGCATGCAGGGACAGATACAGTAAACGAATGAGACTTAGCTGAATGACGAGTAAAACGAGAATGAATTTTAGTTGATGGAACTAGAGATGATAACTCCTTTGAGCAGTGACCATGATAGTATCTGTAGAAAAGAGAAAGAGATGCAACTTTATGACGATGGGAAAGAGGTTCAAGCTTAGCAGATAGTCCAGGTCCAACAACATTTACAATGCGTTTTTGGACCTTGTCAAGAAGAGAAAGTGAATCGTTAGAAGAACCAGCCCAAATATGACAACAGTATTCCATACAGGGACGAATAAGAGATTTGTAGAGGCAGAGAATGGAATCAGAAGTAAGGAAATGGCGAGCACGATTAAGGGAGCAACCTTAGCAGAAGCTAATTTAGCAATCGATTGTATATATGGTTTCCATGAGAGGTCAGTAGTAAGCGATAATCCAAGAAGACGTAAAGAGGACGACTCAGTAAGAGGATTGCCATTCATTAATATAGGAATGTTGACCATATTACGGTAGTTGTTTGCAGTAAGCAATTGGGTTTTTTTAGAGTTGAAATTCACAAGCCACTGTGAACCCCAATCTATTACTGAAGTGAGATCAGATTCAAGATCAGCTGCTTGTTCTAGGCGATCAAAAAGAGAAGACTTTTTGTCAAGACAGGAGTATAAAGTTGAGTCATCAGCAAAAAAAGCTACTTTAGATAAAAGGTTGTCAGGAAGATCGTTTATGTAGATAAGAAACAAAACAGGGCCCAGAATGGAACCTTGGGGAACCCCAGAAGTTACTGGAAATAAAGAAGAGTGTTGGCCTTCAAGGATGACTTTAATAAACCGGTCAGAAAGAAATGATTTGATAATCTCAAAAACTTTCCCAGAAACACCATATGAAGCAAGCTTATGGAGAAGACCAGCATGCCAAACTTTGTCGAAAGCTTTAGATATGTCGAGAGCAATAGCCCTAGCCTCACCGCCTCCATCTAATGCACGATAAAATCTTTCAGTTACAGCAGTTAGCAAGTCGGCCGTAGAGCGAGAGGATCGAAAACCGTATTGATTGTCTGACAGCAGTTTATTTGACTCAAGATGAGATGTGAGGAATTTGTTGATCAAAGACTCAAAGACCTTGCTAATAACAGAAAGAAGACTGATCGGACGATAATTGGAGGGGTCAGAATTTTCTCCAGAGTTTTTGAATATTGGAATCACAGATGCCATTTTCCAACAAGCAGGAAAACAAGACTCAGTCAAACACTTGTTAGGTTTTCTGGTACACATTTCTCATAGAGATTGAAATCTGTGTTATACTTGGACACTTTTCTTTTATTTCTTCAACCAAATAATTAATATCAGGAATATCTTGATTTGGTGATTGGATTTCTTTTGAGTATTTGCAATTGTAATTTTTTGTCACAATGAATGAAAATATCCCTAGGCCTTTAGTTATTTTTTATTTCTGATGTAGCTTTGTATTGGTGTTTTATATTGCATACATGCTTCATAAACTTTTCCAGTAAGTTGTTAATAAATTGCAAAAACAACTCTTTTTTAGTTAATGTTAACTCTTCTTTTACAGTTTTAAAGCATGTCTTCATTTTATCTTTTACCACAAGTTCTACACTTTTTTTAGACCATTGTGAAAATGTTACTTTTTCATTCATTTCATTCTCAAATTCTTTAAAAATTATTTTTCTGTTTAAAATGCATACTCCAAATTTCCTTTCCAGGCATGATTCTCTCAGCTCGCCGTCACATGTTATATTTTTTAGCAAGTCAGTAGGATATTTATATGTCAACATCTTAAGACTATACAACTTTTCAAGAATCAAAGAAAAATTCTCATGGTCAACACATAGACAAGTATCTCATTTACGAAAGTCTGGTTGAATAACCCAAAAGGGTCTTAATTTGCAAAATGTGTTATAAGACGTTGACTTGAACTCAGTTGTTTGTTTGAACTCATTCCAAACTTAACATTGTATCATTTAATAGTCTTTTTTGTTTTTTCACTTTGTTTCTTGTTATCCTTTCTTTTTTCCCAGCAGTAAGCCTACTGGAACTATCTTTTTCTAAAAAGTTTCAAATTCCATTTCAAGTTGTTGTTTTTTCAGTACATTTGAGGGCTGATTCAAGTTGTATGGTAAGATATATCTTGAAGTAAGATTGTGAAGGCTTCTTTGAAGTCTGTACTTCTTTATTATCTTTCTGCTTAATACCCTGGCAAAATCCTTTTTTTTTTGGCAATACAACTCTCATTAGAAAAATTTGATTGTATTTGTGTCTTTAACACTTCGCTAAAAGCGAGCTTTTCTTTACTTCCTTCGAGCATTTCGTACCACTGGTCATTTTTTTAACCACCTTTTGAGGAGTATTATCTTTTGCATATCGCACTCTGTAGAATTTTTGTTTGTATTTATCACCTCTTTGCTTTAACAAACTGTTTTTTTCTTCTAATTTTTTGATTTTTTTCTTCAACCTATCTCTATATTTACTACGAACTTTTAGCCTGCTTCTGGAACTAGATTCCTGACTGGGACCAAGAAGTACATTTATGCCTACTTCATTTTTGATAGGAATATTTACAGTTGGGCTTTCGATGGTGTAGACATACTTTCAATAAGTTGCTATCTCTTCTTTTTCATTTCCCAACTTCTCTTGGTCCTTTCTTTCCAACAATTTCTTACTAATCTTTTATCCCTTTCTGAAAGTTCATGAATTTTCTTTTGTGTTGCTTTTTTTCTTTCTCTATCTTTTTCATTTTTGTTCTTCATATTTGTCAGGGTTTTCAGCTTTCATCTTCTCCCTCGCTTCCACATACTTAGCTTTTTCAATTCTCTAGTTTTTTCTATCTTTCCCATTTTTGTTAACTGTAAGTAAAGAAAAAATTTGTTAATATTTTGTGTTCACTTATGATGGAGGAAATAAAAGTCGATATTAGTGTTTATAAATATTCTTAAAATATACATAAAAACATAGCCTCGTGGCTGAAACTAAAAACATAAAGAATATACAGCACATAAAAATACGGTGCCGATATAACTACAACTTAAAGATGGTGTCATAAAAACTTAACACCCCAACTTGACAACATATTATTTTAAAGTCCCAATAAAAAATCTTTAAACTTTTGTAATGAATCTTTCTTTGCTGGTTTAGCAAAAATATCAGCATAATTTTCATTTGATTGTATATACTCTAATAGTATACGACCTTGTTGATGATATTCTCGTATAAAATGATAACGTATGTCTATATGTTTAGATTTCATATGTTTTATAGGATTTTTCGCTAATGCAATGGCTCCTTGGTTATCGTTTCTAAGGGTTACTGGTTCAATTTTTACTTCTAATAATTCTCGTAATAGTTTTGCTAAATAACTAATTTCTTGGCAAGCTGCAGATATCGACATATATTCTGCTTCACAGGTGGACAGTGCAACACTCGATTGTTTCTTTGATTTCCAACTAACGACTGGTCCATCTGTACACAGAGAAAAACAGTAACCTGATATACTATGTCGATCTTCTAAAGATGAAGCCCAATCTGCATCACAGAAAGCATAAAGCTTTAACTCATCAGTCTTTCGAAAAGTTAAACAATAGTTTAGAGTATGTTTAATATACCAAAATACATGTTTAATCATAATCCAATCACCACTATTTGGTTTTGATAGATGCTGAGATAATTTGGTAATAACATAGCTTAAATCTGGTCTTGTACATGTCATTGCATAAAGAAGACTTCCAACCATTTGTCGGTATAATTTTATCTCTGAATCATTCGATTTTGTAGATTCTTGATTATGGTATGAATAAGGAACTTGCTCACATGGGGTAGATCTTGGTTTGCAATTGTCAAAACCGAATTTTTGTAGAACATTCTGCAAGTAATCTGATTGATTCATAGTGACACAATTACTAGTTGATTTGAATTGAATACCAAGAAATGAAGTTAATGGTCCCAAATCTTTCATTTTAAATCGTTTACTTAATTTCTTCTTAATTTTAATTAATAGTTCATTTGAGTTGACAGCTATAATTATGTCATCAACCCATACTAGAATCATTGCTACTTCAGTATTGCTTCTTCTAACAAAAACGCAATTATCAGCATTTGATTGAATAAATTGTATTTCCTTGAGAAAGTCACTTAAAACATTCTGCCAATTTCTACCACTTTATTTTAAAGTGGTAGAAATCACCATAAAGTGATTGATGTAAAATGAGGTTATATTGGGCAGATACTTGCATTAAAATTCGAACTGATTCCATTCTAGCTGTGGGTGAAAAAGTTTCTAAATAATCAATTCCTTGAATTTGGTTGTACCCCTTTGCAACATATCTGGCTTTGTATATAATTTTATTATTGTTCCCTTTAATTGTGTAGATCCATCTTCCCCCAACTACTTTTTTATTTGCTGGGAGTTCAGTAATAATAAAGGTGTCATTATTCGTTAATGATTGGATTTCTTCATCCATGGCATTTTTCCATTTATCTGACTCATCGGTGTTGATAGCATTAGTGTATGATGTAGGTATATTCATCAAATAACAATAATCTATATAGTTAATTTCATCATCATTATTATTATCAACTATGTAATCTTCCAAATATTTTGGGGGTTGTTTTTGTCTTTGAGGGTAACGTGATGAGGGAATTTCTTGAGGTATATTTTGTTTATTATTGGGAGTGGATGGCTCAGTTGTAGACTTTGTAGTTTTTGTTTCAACATTTATAAAATCATCTGTATTGTAGGTATCTATTTGGCTAACAGATTCATATTTTTCTGTAAATTTTACAAGTCTGTGTTTTAAAACTGAATTTGATTCTGGATAATAAACTAGGTATGATGGACTGTCTTTGTCATATCCAACAAAATAACCTTTAATGCTTCGTGGTTGTAATTTTTTGGTATTATGTACATATGGGTAACATACTGATCTAAATAAGTGTAATCTCGAAATGTTTGGCTTTAAACCAGTTACTAATCCATATGGTGTACTTTTAATTCGTTGTACATAGCATCGATTTCTTATATATGTTGCAGTGCTAACTGCATAAGTCCATAAATGCTTTGGAAGTTTTGATTCAATAATCATGGCTCTTGCCATGTCAAATAATGAACGCCAATTCCTTTCTGCGGTTCCATTTTGGTGTGGGGAATAAGGTGATGTAAATTCATGTTTAATGGTATGTTTTAGAAGTAATTCATTAAATTCTTTTGATAAATATTCACCTCCGTTATCACTGCAAATACATTTTACATTACCAGATGGGGAAATATCATTATAAAAACTAAATGTTTTAACCTTCCCATATGGAGCAATATCTGCTAGAAATTTTTCAGCAGCTTTTGCAGCATCACTTTTTTGTTGCAGGAAATATGTAAACAAACAACTTGAGTAATCATCAACAAAGTTTATAACATACTTAAATCCACCTATAGCTACAGGTTCTATAGGTCCGGCTAAATCAGTATGTACAAGTTGGAATGGGTAAGTTGCCCTTGTGTCAGGTTGTTGGTTACAAGTGTTAACATTTTCAGATAGAATACATGTTTCACAATCAAATTTAGCAATATTGTTGATTTTCATTCCTTGAGCTACATCTTCTAATTTTATAATATCATTGGTATTACAATGTCCCATTATTTTGTGCCACATTTCCAAACTTTCAGTTCGTGTTTCTTTTATTGAGTTTTTGTAAAAATAATACAAACGACCATATTGTCGGATAGGAAACACAGTTCCCTCTTTAGATATAAGTTCAGCACTATATTTATGGAAGTTAATTCTGGCGCCTTTAGCCTTGAACAGAAAAAATGCATTGTGGGTAGGTTGGGATATATAAAGTGTTTTCAAGAGTGACAGTTACTAGTTCATCGTTTTTGTATGTAAAAGGGTTTTAACTGTCCCTCTCTTTTTAGCTATATTGTTTGTCCTGGTGCCATCAGCTAACTCTATAAAGTGTTCTTCTGGTTTAAAATATTCATCAATATAAGTGAAGTATTCATCAGTATTTACAATATGGGTAGTTGCCCCACAGTCTACCAGAAATGTTTTATTTTGCGTTTCCCTATATTGTTCTTTGTTTATTTTAAATGCATACGTGTGTTTTTGTATATTATTAACAGCTTTAGCTTTATCTTTTATTTGTTTTCTGCAAGAACTGTCTTTGTGGGTATTTGATCTACAGTAATTACACCATGTCTTTGGTTTAGTTTTTGCTTGACATTCAGAAGATTTGTGACCAATAGTTCCACAAGTGTAGCAAGTTAAAACTTTCTTTACATTACCCCCACTAGTTTTGAATTTCATTATTTTGGTATCTGAATGTTCAATGAGTTGTTCTTGTGTATTCTGTTTCCTCAAAACATCGTAAAGCCTGCTTAAATTTTTGGAAATTATTAATTGTTTCAGATTGGGTAATTATAGCTACAAAAGCTCTATAATCGTCAGGTAATCCTTTAAGTACCATAGCAATAAGTAATGAATCGCTAATACTTTCGCCAGCTGTATTTAATGAAGTGGCTGATTTCTCTGCTCTAATAACATAATCTGTTATAGACTCGTTGGTAAATTTTTTTAAACTTGTTAATTGGTTATATAAGGTAATAATACGAGGTTTACTTGTACTAGCGTAATGATCTTTTAGAATTTTAAAGGCTTCCCTACCTTTATCTTTAGCGTCTCTTATAATTAAAGCTATGGATCTTTCATCCAGAAATTGTATAAGTTTAGCAAACGCTATTTCATTTTCGTTTTCGTCAATTTCGCCATTTCCAATTAAAGTATCTTTTAAATTTTTTAACTTCATATATCCAAGGAATTTCGCTTCCCATATTTCGAATTTCCTACTATCTCCATCGAAAATAAGATTTTGCCACTGGTTGCTGGCCCCATAACCTGTTAATATTTTGTGTTCACTCATGATGGAGGAAATAAAAGTCAATATTAGTGTTTATAAATATTATTAAAATATACATAAAAACATAGCCTCGTGGCTGAAACTAAAAACATAAAGAATACACGCCACATAAAAATACAGTGCCGATATAATTACAACTTAAAGATGGTGTCATAAAAACTTAACAAAATTATAACTATCTGGATAGAAACATTTATCTTTTCAATAATAATTAATTAGCTATATAAGCAAAGTTTTTAAATGTTAAAAATCCTTAAAATAGACATTAAAAAATTCAGTTACAGGTCAAATTATCATTTGTTGTCACATCCATACCATGTGTGTCACATCTGCTGCTTTCTGTACTCCACAGACGTGACATCCACAGACGTGACAAATTAAAGGATAAACCCTAAAAGGAGCGCTATGTTTTGAGGCTAAGACTCTGTTCCCTTTGGAGTAAATATGCCTAGGTAATTGCTATTAAACAAAAGTATTGCTTATAAAAAAGTAAAATTATTTACCCTGGGTATGTTTGCCACAGATGTGACACACTAAGACTAACAAATTCAACTTTTAAAACTTTAACACTTATCAGCACTAAACAACTACACCAAAAATTCCCCCACTATTACTCATTAATAAAAATGTCTGGTAGCATAGCTAGAACAGCTAAATAGAGAACTACTGCTGCATCCTACAGCTTTTTTTTTGAATTAATAACTCTATCCACAGACGTGACATTTAAGGTGGTAACAAGTGCTTCAATTACATAAAAGTTACTTTAAAAATATGTTTTGAGGAAAATATTATGTCAACTCTAATTTTAATGTATTCTTGATTATTTATTATATATTAAAATAAAAGTAAAGTACTAGCAACAAGGTTTAAACTTCTTGGGATTAGCAAAAAGTCAGGGTGGTTACATTCCACGGACGCGAGTTGTCGCAGTCTGTGGAACATTATTTATTCACTGAAAATGTTATTTAGGTTTGGTTTTCATCAGTTTAACATTCTATTAGCTGTATATTTGTTATTTGCACTGGTTTAAAGTATAAATAGTATTAACTTGAAAAAAAAATTAGTGGGGACAGTATATTGCTACTTTTTTGGTGAATAATCCATATATATATATATATATATATATATATATATATATATATATATATATATATATATATATATATATATATATATATATATATATATATATATATATATATATATATATATATATATATATATATATATATATATATGTATATATATATATATATATATATATATATATGCTGCATTAAAATAAAACATACTTGTCTATATAGTTATTACAATATTAATACTGTTGTAATTATTATTGTTGTAAATACTATAAATATATCATAATAATAACTAAATTCAGGAACTAATAATAATCAAACTCATAAAAATTTTCAGTATTTTTTAAAATAACTTTAATTATACAAAATAAAACTTTAAATCTTTAAGTACTTTCTTAACTTGACTTACTTAAAAGCGTCCACAATCTTTCTTAAGCAATTTTGTCTGATGAAATTTCACTTTACTCTAAGCAGACAACTTACTCCAATGTATGACAATCTACTTAAAAGTAAAATGTCCTATTGGACAGTTTACTCTGACGAACAGTTTTCTCCATGACAGTTCATGAAGTAGCGGATGAGCATAACTCCAATGAACGGCTTAAAAAATGCCTATATAGGTCCACTGCAAATCCACTAAAACAATGGTTGAGGGAATGTTTAATACAATTTTGATGAAAAATAGCAGATATCAAATATATTTTTATATTTCTTGCTAGAGTATAGTATTTTGAAAATTGTCTATGTTTCAAACTACTGCAACATTATCACACACACACACACACACACACACACACACACACACACACACACACACACACACACACACACACACACACACACACACACACACACATACATACACACACACACACACACAACGATAAAAAATAAATATATCTAACTTTTTTAGGTAGCCTAAAATGTGATAAAAACATTTTTGTTATAAGTGTTCTTTAAGAAAATCAAAAAAAGTATGCATATTGCTTTAAGCCTAAACTTCTAATTTTTAAAACAAAGAAAAATAAAAAATAACGCACAGAAATGGATAAGCTCATTT